CCACGCCCACGCCCACGCCCACGCCCACGCCCACGCCCACGCCCACGCCCACGCCCACGCCCACGCCCCCACGCACACAGCGCACGCGCACGCGCACGCGCACGCGCACCGCGCACGCGCACGCGCAGCGGCGGCACGCGCCCGCGCCCGCGCCCGCGCCCGCGCCCGCGCCCGCGCCCGCGCCCGCGCCCGCGCCCGCGCCCGCGCCGCGCCCGCGCCCGCGCCCGCGCCCGCGCCCGCGCCGCGGCCCGCCCACGCCCACGCCCACGCCCACGCCACGCCCTCGCCACGCCACCCCACGCCCACGCCCACGCCCACGCCCACGCCCACGCCCACGCCCACGCCACGCCCACGCCACGCGCAGCCCACGCCCACACCCACGCCCACGCCCGCGCCCGCGCCCACGCCCACGCCCGCGCCCGCGCCCACGCCCACGCCCACGCCCACGCCCACGCCCACGCCCACGCCCACGCCCACGCCCACGCCCACGCCCACGCCCACGCCCACGCCCACGCCCACGCCCACGCCCACGCCCACGCCCACGCCCACGCCCACGCCCACGCCCACACCCACGCCCACGCCCACGCACACGCACACGCACACGCACACGCACACGCACACGCACACGCACACGCACACGCACACGCACACGTACACACACCAACAACTGGCCCCAGCACGGCCCAAGAGGCCCCCAAGACGGCTTAATACGCCCCCCCAGACGGGCAATGAGGTCGCCAGAAGGGCCCCAGTGGGACACTCGAGGGAGCACCAGGAGCCCCCCCGGCCACACCGCGATTGCCCCCAAGAGCCACAACATGCCTCCAGGTGGCCCTCACAAGGCCCCCAATAGAACCCCAATGAACATCCCCCTGTGGCTTCCACGAGGCATCAAGATCCCCCCCCCCCTGGGGCTTCCAGGAGGAATGTAAGAGCCGTCACCCTTCGCCCCCCCCCCCCACACTGCTCACAACTGCACGCTTTACACAAGAAGTTCCTGGCAGACGGCGCCCAAGCTCCTCCTGAGGAAAACACGCGCCCTCGGATAGCCCAAGACGGCTCACGAGGGCCACCACTGCCCGCCTAGACAACCCTTGCAAATTCCTGGGCACCCCTGCATACATCAGCAAACACCCAGAAACGTACTAAAAAAAGAGGTCCGCAAATGAGGCGCACGCCCACAGGCCGGCCAACAGACAGTCTCAAGGGACCCCAAGACGACTCGGGAGCAGACAGAAGGCTTGTCTGGCTGCATCCCGCGACGCGATGTGCATCATAGCTGACAACCAGGCTACATTAAAGCATTACTATGAAACAATTAGCCTGGCGATGAGCCCAACCCTTTGTAAACGGATGACGGCTATCAACATGACCGCTCCACGCCTGCGGACGCAGCCACTGGGGCCTTCGGTGGGGACCCCTGTGGGGCCACGAAACGTGCCAGGGATCTGCCGACATGGGGCGGGGCTGCATGCAGGCGCAGCCATTGGGGCCTTCGGTGGAGCTTCCTATAGGGCCACGTAGCTTGTGATGGGTTAGCCGATATGGGGCGGGGCCACATGCGGACGCAGCCACTGGACCCTTCGGAAGAGCTTCCTACGGGGCCACGAAGCGTGTGACGGGTCAGCCGAAATAGTGCGGGGCCGCATGCGGACGCGGCCGCTGGGGCCTTCGGTGGGGACCCCTAGTGTGAGGGGTCTGCCGAAACGGGGCGGGGCCGCATGCGGACGCATCCAGTGGGGTCTTCGGTGGAGCTCCCTATGGTGCCACGACGCGTGTGATGGGTCTGCTGAAATGGGCTGGGCTCCGCATGCGGACGCAGCCACTGGAGCCTTCGGTGGAGCTCCATGTGAGACCTCGAAACGTGCGAAGGGTCTGCCAAAATGGGGCAGGACCGAATGCGAACGCAACCATTGGGGCCTTAGGTGGATCTTCCTATGGGGCCACGAAGCGTGTGATGGGTCTGCCGAAATGGAGCGGGGCCGAACGCGGACGCAGCCATTGGGGCCTTCGGTGGAGCTCGCTGCGGGGCCTCGAAACGTGCAAGGGGTCTGCCGAACCGAGGCGGGGCCACATGCGGACGCAGCCACTGTGGCCTTCGGTGGAGCTCTTACTGGGCTTCGAAACGCGTGAGGCGTCTGTACAAATTAGGCGGGCTCCACATGCGGACGCAGCCAACGGACCCTTCGGTAGAGCTCACTCTGGGGTCACGAAATGTGTGACGGGTCTGCCGAAATGGGGCGGGGCCGCATGCGGACGCAACCGTTGGGGCTTTCGGTGGAGCTCCCCACGGGGACTCGAAACGTGCGAGGGGTCTGTCGGAAATGGGGTGTGCCGAAATGCGAAAAGGGAAGGCGATGCTGATGAAAACGTGGAGGGGGGAGGAGGCGGGGAAGGAAGAGGATGATGAGAGCGACGCACGGCGCTACGGATTCAACACGAAGACCCAACACACGGGAAGGTTGGATCAGACGGCACGGCAAGCCAAGCACGAATACCGATCTAAGCAAGTCCAAGCCAGCCAAGGCTAAGCTAAACCAAGCCATGGCAGGCTAGGCTCAGCAAGTGTAACCCGAACTCGAACGCCACATATACTAATACCGCTGTAGCACCAAGTTGTACCATTCTAGACAACATGTCTACACACTAATCGAGACACCTCTAGGCTGGTCCAACACGTTCTTTGCAATGCTGTTCCTTGCACCACCAACCACTGCCACGTCAATATCTCTCCGTGCTCTGTGCAGCACAGCACAATCTGGGATCACGTGCCGCGAATACTTGCACAAAAGCATTTCGCACATTCTTGGCTGGGGTTGGGGGTGAATTTCACTCTCGGGAGGGGGCCCTTACGGGCTCTGGGGACTACCTGTGATTTCCAGAACGCTAATCAACTCTCAATTATAGCTCGGGAGCTGGGGAGATCACGGCCCAAGCTGACCCGATGCGGTACATCATTCCCATGTCGCACATCCGCAGCTTGATTCCCTGCTCAAATGCAGCCTTGACGTGGGACCTTGCGTACGGAATGCCAAGATGCCCTGCATGTGCTGCGGCGCGAAGCCCGCATGCGCAGAAAACTGAAGACCCTCGTGCTTTGCCTTGCCAGCCAGCGGCAACGACCCAGAAAGAGGCCACAACGTCGACGCCCAAGAAACCGGAGAGAGAGAGAGAGAGACAAAAGCAACAAACAAACTAAATAACGAACGAGAGAGAGAGAGAGAGAGAGCGAGACAGAGAGAGAGAGAGTACTGCCGCAACGCGTGCACCACACATTTGAAAGTGGCGGCGAACTAATCGTAGTTTACGTTGCCGCGCCCTGCCACCCAGGGGCATCTGTGGCTGCCGACGCCGCCGTGCCAATCCAATCATCAACTCCTTTCCCCCTGCGCAGTCAAAACCTTGTCCTGATGAGCCTTCGCCGTGGCACGGAACCACCAATTCGGCCCCAGCTGCGTCCAAACCGTACGAGGACCCCGACGGCAAAACCCAAGGAGGGGAAAACCGACTGTGAAGACCGCTGGAGGCCGTCAACTCGTGAAAGTCGGGAAGCTGTGGTCGGGAACTTGTTGTCATCGTGTCGTGGCGGCGGCCCCAACGACGCGCTATGCCTTGCAAGCGGATAGCGTGTCGCTCCGCTCCGCAGGGCGGTGGGCTGGGGGAAACTCGGGACGTTGACGCTTGGTGGCTGGGACTTGGAGAGCGTGCCGCGCCGAGGCTTGGTGGGCCAGAACCTGCGGCGCGACACGCCAAGCCAAAGTTCCTGACCGCATGCAGCTAGCCATGTGGCACAACCTGCCCCTGCGCAGGCACAAGTCTGTCCAGCTCATACATAATGCCGCGAACACGCGAAGAGGAACCTACACCCCCTTGGAAAAGAATGCAAACTCTTGCAAGTCGTGTCCAAGAATCGTTCTGGGGGCTTCCCCGGGGGGGTCATGTTTCATCCCTGGTCCATTTCTGACGGTAGGGTCCCGAAAACTGCTCCTAGAGGCCAAAGGCGACGAAACACCGAAGGCGACGAAAACAAACACATCGACTATTAAAGTTGCACTGCATTTCCAGGGCAGTGTAGGGAACCCCGAGCCCCTTCCGACGCCAACGTGGCCCTCAATCCAAGGCTCTGACTGCATGCCCTCTGCGGCCCAAGCTTCCCCCTGCACTCGCACGAGCTTGCAACAGAGCGCGTGGGGATAAAAATGAAGCGCCCGTGACGGAAAGCCAGGTCAAACACCAGGCCCTCCGGGGTAGACCATAGATCTGGAAAACAAGCTGCAGAAAGCATACGCTCTCGGAGGCCCGCTCAGTTTTCTCGGGTCGGCGCTGCAGTCCCCGTCCCTCACCCCCCTGGCGCGCTCCACGCGCCTAGGAAAGAGGATGGGGAGTAGGGGCCTAGCGCCTGCACAAGAAATCCACGCAGACTCCAAGAACATCATACTATGCAGTTCCCAGGTTTTCTGCGATTAACACTGCACAACTCTGCGACGTGCCCGTCAAACACAGGCCCCCACTCTTTCAACTGGTGACCCAGACATCCGGCGATGTGATTAGTTCAGCCAGCGGGTCCCCGATTTCTGGACCCCTTCCTGGGGGTGCAAATTCTCGTCAATGGTTGATGGCTCCGCGCCCTGGAGGCGCCTGCCAGGCTGGACGCCAGGGAGGACACGGATGAGGGGGGAGGAGGAGGCCTACGCATAGGAAGGAGGAGGAAGAGAAGGTGGAGGGAGGGGGAGGATGAGGAGGAGGAACAGCAAGGAGGTGGAGGAGGAGGAGGAGGAGGAGGAGGAGGAGGAGGAGGAGGAAGAGGAGGAAGGTGAGGAGGCGGAGCAGAAGGCGGAGCAGGAGGCGGAGGAGGAGGCGGAGGAGGAGGCGGAGGAGGAGGCGGAGGAGGAGGAGGAGGGAAACCGCCGCGGCTGAAGAAACCAATCCGCCCGAGGTCTGGGGACCAGTGCCGCTCAGGCCGAGCAGCGCGCCTCAGGGGCCGTTGCCTCGGCCGCGCCTCAAGGGACGAAGTTCGTCGAGCCTGGCGGCGAGCTCGGCGCCCTGGCGGCCGCGCGCGGCGTGCCCTCCTCGGCGGCGAGCCCGGGTGGGGTAAGGGGGGAGAGGGGGCAGGCCTTCTCAGAAGGCGGCGGGGCCTCTCGGCAGCCCTCGCGCCCTCTGCGAAGTTTTGTGCGCCCTCGGAAGGCCCGAGGCCTCCGGAGCTTTCTGAAATGGCTCGCGCTCTCTCGCTTCCTCCCTGGGCTCGCCACCGACCTCCACACTGACACTCCTCGCAGCATGAATGACGGATGCCGAGTGCCGCCAGCCCACCTCTGCCCCGAGCGCTTGAGGGAGTGGTTGCGAGGGGGGAGGGGGGGAGGACGAACGGCAAGGATGGGGGCAGGAACTGGGGGGAGGGCCAGGCGCGTCAGAGAGCCTGCGAGGGGTCCTGACGCCTCAACAGATTCTTGGGACACGTGTTCAAATCATTGCACTCTGGAGACAGCTATCGGCCTTGCGTTCAAGACGTCGCAACACTGGGCGCAATGCGCCTGTGCGAGAGGAACAAGAGAGAGGAAGAGGAGAGGACCCATACCCCCGACGTCGTGATTTTTGTCGCAACGCCGACCCCCAGAGGTCTCGCCCCATTCCAAAGGACGGCTTCTCGCCCTCACTTAACTAATGTTTGACGGTCCTGGGGCCTGGCCAGAAACCGTCCGTCGTGTTTTTTGTTTATCACGACGCGAGGGGGTCTGGGGAGGATTGGTAGCAAGAGGGCAAGGACACCAGTTGAGCTACTTGGATCAACGCTGGGGTTGCTAAAACGACAGGGGTGTTCTAAATGGGTGCCACATAATTTAGATTTGGCCTGATATCCGCCGGCCTCCTTGTGGGGCCACCAGGCTGCGCGGAGTAGACTTGCTGCTCCCTGCTCTGGTTTCAGTTTCAAGTCTGCCATATCATAGCCCTACCTTCTCCTTCGTACTCATAGTTGCGACTGTTCGCGCGAGGTCGGGAGCCCGAAACTTGTATTTTGCCTTCCCCAAATTGCGCTGCCACCGAACTTCCTGCGGGGCCGTGGGAAATGTAAAAATACAAAAGATTCGCGCCCCCGAGGCCACGTTGCCTTGTCAATTACACCATGCTCGTGTCCCCGAGGCCACGGTCCGCTTTTACATTACATAATAATAGAATTTCCGAAGCCACGATCCGTATATTTTACGATGATTGCGTTCCCGAGGCCACGATCCCCTGCCATTTACGCAATACTTGCATCCCTGAAACCACAGCCCCTTCGTAAATGATGTATCAGTTTTGCCCCCGAGACCACGATCCATTGTAAATGATGAAAGATTCGCGTCCCCTAGGCCACGATCCCTCGTCAATTCAACCGCATTCGCGTCCCTGAGGCCACGATCCCTTGCACATTACCTGAGATTCGCATCCATGGGGCCACGATCCTGACGTAAAGTGCACCGCATTCGGGTCCCCGAGGCCACGATCCCTCGTAGACTGCACTGCGTTGGCGTTCCCGGGGCAACTATTCCTTGGCAGTTACGCCGTATTCGCGCCCCTGAGGCCACGATCACTTGCACATTGCCCAATGTTCTTGTCTCCAAAGCCACGATCCTGATGTAAATTACGTCATATGCGCGTCCCCAAGTTCACGGTCACCGTCAATCGCTCCAAATTCGCGTTCCCGAGACACCTATTCCGAATGAATTGCGCCATGCTCGAGCCCCCGAAGCCACGATATTCGCGTCTCCGAGGCCACGGGCCTTTCGCAAATTACACTTTGGTCGCGTCCCCGAGTCCACGACCCAGGTAAAATTATGCAAGGAACGCGCCTCCGAGGCCACGATCACTGCCTTCCTTTTCGCAATATTCGCGTCGCCGAGGCCCCGATCCATCGCAAAACCACGCCCCCCCGCAAATTACGCTGTGCTCGCGTCCTGGAGGCCACGACCCCTGGACAATTATCAGTGCGCGCGCTCCCGAGGCCACGATCCCGAGTCATTTGCGGCACGTTCGCGTCCCCGAGGCCACCGTCCCTGGTTAAACACTCAGAGGGAACGAAAGACCGTCCAAGCCGCGCGATGTTGCTCAACGTCGCCTCAGGCAGCCCGCAGTCGTTCCACGAGGGCCTCCAATCCACAGCATGAGGGCAAGCTCGAACAAAACATGATCGACCCACGGACCCAGAAAAGGATTTAGAACTGCGAGGCATGGGAATCTTTCCAAGCACCTCGATTGGGCGATGGGCAGTGGCAATGCTGAAGATGTCGATGATGCTGCTGCTGCTGCTGATGATGATATTTTGCCAAAAGCTGTGGTGTGCTGCTCTGCGCTGTGCCGCGCCGCATAGTGACGTGCCAGGAACGCACCATGGAACGTGCCAGTGGAAGTGCCAGGGGACGCGCCAAAGGAACACGCCGCGCTGAACTGCGCCGTGCGCTATTGCATTTTGGGTCAAGCCGTCCTTGGCGTCAGAATCCTGACCGAACTGATTTAGATCTGAAGCTCGAGCTGTCTGAACGCATAGCTCGGGCTAGATGCAATCGAAATGCGCGGGGCGCTCGACCAGCTCGAGCTCAGGATCCGATTCAATTTCGCAGCCATCGCTCGAGACACCCGGACATAGAGCCAGACGACCACATGTTGGATATCTCCCTATGTGATCTGGACGCGTGAAGACGTGGCTTTAGCTTGGGACAACCATGCGAGATACCCCCCCGGGCGGCATGGACACGAGAAAACACATGGTTCCAGCTTGGGGCAACAATGTTAGATAACTCCCTGGGTGGCCCGGACATGTTAAGAAACGTGCTCCAGCTCGGGACAACCATGTCAGAAATCCACCTGGGTGGCCTGGACACGTGAAAAAACATGGCTTCAACTCGGGACCACCATGTTAGATACCAAATTGGGAAATCCTGAAAATCACCAGCCGAGGAAGCTGTATCAGATTATATGTTGCAAATTCGGTGTAGATCCATTGATTTTGTCTGTTTCTTGTGGGCCCCCACGCTGGGGGCATCCAAGCGACCACATGTTAGATCCCACCCGTGGGTGGCCCGCATACGTAAAAACACGCGGTTCCAGCTAGGGGCAACCATGTTGGATACCCAGTCTGGGTGGCCTGGACACTTCAAAACACTTGATTCCAGCTTGGGGCTACCAAGTTCGATACCCCTCTGGGTGGCCTGGACACGTGAAAACACGTGGTTCACCGAGGGACCGACCACCATGTTGGATACCTCTCTGGGCGGCCTGGACACGCGAAAACACGCGGTTCCAGCTAGGGGCAACCATGTTCGATACCTCTGTGAGCAGCCTGGACACATGAAAACACGTGGTTCCAGCGAGGGGCAAGATGCAACCATCTTAGATACCCCCCCCACCCCTGGGCGGCCTGGACACGCGAAAACACGGGGCTCCAACTCGGGACTACCATGTTATGGCCTGGGCACGTGAAAGCACGCGGTTCCAGCTCGGGGCCACCATGTTAGATATCCACGTTGGTGGCGTGGACATGTGAAAACACGTGGTTCCAACTCGGGATCACCATGTTAGACACCCCACTGGGTGGCATGGACACGTAAAAGCACGTGGTTCCAGCTAGGGGCCAACATCTTAGATACCCCCTTGGGTGGCCTGGACACGTGAAAACATATCCCATCTGGGAGAAACAATGCTTGATACTTCCCTGGGCGACCTGGGCACGCGAAAACAAGCATTTCGCCTAAGACATCCTTTGAATTCTAGCCCCCAGGAGAGGAGAAATCTATATGAGAAAAAAAAACAAGCGTTTCGCAGGAGACATTCTCAACCAATTCCGCAGAAGAAGCGTTTCGCTCGAAACATCCGCAGCAAACGAAATGTTAACTTTACCATGTGTTCTATCGATCGGATAAAAAACGGCGTTTCGCTCGGGAGATGCTCATTATTTGATCCGCCGGCCCTCTTCGAACTTGTTTCTTATTGCGTATTAATCCACCGGCCTTTTTTGAACTTGGCACCGGGGGGCAAGTTTACTGTCCTGAAAGGGAACCCTGGGCCCACGCCCTTTCCGGGAAACACAATGCAACAGTCTCATCTGGATCTCAATGTGTCTTGAATAAAGCGGCCCAGGGACACTGAATAGACACAAGTCCAAGGATCCCCTTATACGTTCAATACTTCCTGGGTTTTCGTCTTCCACTCCGCTTCCCACATTTTCCACATGTTCCTTGGAATCGACGTTTATGTGCGTTTGTGTGTGTGAAATTTCCTCCTGATTGGCAATTGCCAATGGCCCTCGCATGAGGTTTCGGTATTGCTTCACGATGTCGCCCAGGCATCCCAGCTTCACTCCTGCATGCCCCATTATGGTAGAGAGGGGCCAGCGGCAGAGGGCGAAACCGTTACTGGCATCATGTGAGTGGGCTGCAGGTGCCCTAAGCGGCTAAGGCGGGGGTGGGGGCTGAGCTCTGGGCAAAGTGGGCGGAGCCCACTTAGCAGCAGAGTCACCAAATCCCTTGAAACCACTCTGGGCACTCGTAACCCATCTATGCTGTTGGTCGGGCCGGATGTAGCCCACATTCGCATCCACTGATAACACCCCTGCCCCCTTAGCATCCCCGGCGGTGATCCAAGCAACCCCTGAGCAGGGGAGCGGGGCCCGGCCTCTCGCACTTGTCGATGGCCAGGAGCCCCAACACCATCAGGCCCGCGTCGTTGCGCGGGTTCACCTGCACCTCGCGCGCGCGTGCGCCTGCGCGCCTGCGCCCTCCTGAAGCCCTCGGGGGCCCTCGGAGCCGACTAGGTAGGCTGCAATTGGGTTTCACGTGAGGCGGGAGGCGATCCTTGGCAAACTTGCAGCTGCCCCCTACGCTAAGGCGACATAACTACTGCGCCCTCCTGGGAAGGGAAGGGCAGCCGGGGGAGATGTGAACGACACGACTGACGGGAGAAGGACGAGGACGGTAAGAGGGAGGACACGGGGAGCGCACGACATGCACAGCGCCACCTGGCCCTCACCTGGCGCGCGCCTGGAAACTGACGTGTCGACACTTGACATGTACCTCATCCCCGGGGGTGTGCTGGCCGGCATTCGCGTCGTCGCCTGCGTAGGTGGCACTTGCTGCGCAAGTATGTTTTTTCACCACGTGGGCCCCGAGAAACGTCAACCAATCCCCCGGGTCCAGTTCATCCAGAGTCGTTTTTTCCTGACGGCCCCGTGGCCCGGCGAGGGCCCCCAAAGGCCAGAAGTAGCAACCGCATCTTTTCGGTCGCAGCGGCGCGGATCCACGCCGCGGTCGGAGGCAGCCGAGGGGCACTACCAGGGCCTGATTGGACACAGCAGGAGGCTGAAGGGCGCGAACGGAGAAGGGGGTGGAAGCCGCAGGCGGCGGAGCACGCTCAGAGCGAACAGTTCTTGCGCGTGCGTGCTGGAGCACAGGCCTGCACAGCAGGAGGATGTCGAAGGCGCCCATGGAAGTGAGGATCGCACCGATCCAGGGAACAACCCCACCAGGATCCAGTAAGCACCCCAGCACGTGATATCGTGTGGTAAATGCACCCATGGAGAGAATCGAACAGGGCAGGGCCGTTTAGTCAACGCCCAGGGCCGTGGAGCCAACGCCAACTGTCGGGGCAAAGGGGACTTGCGTGGCAATGACACGTCTTTGTTCGCGAGGCAGCGGGGTCTGGGCCCCGCCGTCCTCCACCTGCCCCCGCAGTCCGTGCGCAGAGAGCCTGCCTCGTACTCGCCCCCGCTGCTGTTGCCGACCAGGCCCACGGTCTGGCCCAGGGCGCCCCGCACCTGCGGGCTGTCGGCGGCGGGAGGAGGAACGCTTCTCTGCGACGTTCTGCGAAGCACGGTGGTCTTAGACGCTTGCGGTTGCGGCGGTAGAGGAAGGATCGTGAAAGGCTCCTCGATCCTCTGGCTTCCCTCCGCCTCCTTCCTCACTCCTTCCTCTCCCACCCTCTTCCTCCACTTCTTCTTCCTGCTCCACTTCCTCCTCCTCCTCCTCCTCCTCCTCCTCCTCCACCCCCTTCTTTCCCCCCTCCCTTGGGGGGGGGACCAGCTCAGGGGGGAAACGTCGAACTGGAATCGGCAAAACATCGCCGACGTAGCGAAATCGCACATTCCTTGGCGGGGTGGGCAATCGCTTCCCTCACGGCGATGAGTGGGCGATCAGGGGTCGCTGCGTTCCCCCCTAAGCCCCCAGAGTTGCCCCTGAGAAGACGAGGCGAGGGCACCGAGGTCTGACCTGGAGCTATCCGCAGCTTCGGGGCCTCGAGGGGGAGGAGGACGAGGAGGAGGAGGAGGAGGCGGAGCCAAGAACGGAAGAACGTCTCCCTGGCTCACCTAACTGCGCGGAGCTGCGGCCTGGCGGCTCTCAAATGCAGCGCCCGAGTCCCTCGCCAGAGACTGCAGTGTCGCAGCCTGCCGCCTGCGCGCACCGTCAGACAAGTCCGTGGTCAGCTCGGTTACGATCACCACCAGTGTGAACAAGGATTCCAAGACTACCAATGTGATCCCTGTCAACATCGCCATCGCTTCGGTAACGAGGCCCTGGAGCAAGGACTGGATGAACTGCTCCAGGGCACCCAGCAGAAACGCAAGCAGGTAGACGTGTGTCAGAATCAACCTCATGAGCACAGGCAAGTCCCGGAGTCGAGCCGCGTGCGCAAAGACCTCGCTTGCGAGGGCGGCGTGGTAAGCAGCGTCGAAGGTGTCGTTGAAAACGGCTCAACAGCCAGAAGCGTCGCTATCGCCGTCGCGGGGGGCGAACAAATCGTCGGTGCCGCTGGTGAACAAGGCAAGGTCTCGGTTGGAGTCGGACGACAGGAACCGCTCGGGGAGCGACACGGCGGGGGTGTCAAACGAGAATTGTCTGACGCATCATGTCGGGGAGTCGCCGGGGCAGAGCCCGCATAATTCGATGGAGAAGCTCGCCAAATAACGAGCTCGACCAACGACACAAAACAGGGACGTGTCCGGCAAACCTTCGGTGGAACGCCATGCATATGCAGGCTCGGCGTCGCAACCGCCATGTAGGACAGCAGGGACAGAACGGGCTGGCGCCGCAGGTTTGCGCCAGAGCGGATCTTCAGCACGCTGACGAAATGCCCATAAGTTCGGTGACGCCCACGTTCAAACAAAAACAAGCAACCTTTAACCGTGCAGCCGAACCGTCATGCGGGACAGGGTGTTTAATCCAGATTGGACGGCCTCCCTCAATAGTTTGGCTAAACCCCAACTCCACAATCTCGGGAAACCGCGATACCAAGAGCTTCTTAGCAAGCTGCCCGACTTCGATGACATCCAGCATAACGGCATAGGTCATCGCGAGCTAGATAACCAAACCTACATCGCTCACGGCCTCCGCGCAGGATACCAAAGGACGTGTACTCACAAGATGCCACAGTACGCAGAAGTGGAGGAGAAGGATGAGGATGTGGATGAGGATGAGGATGCGGATGGTAATGATGAGGAGGAGGAGGAGGTGGAGGAGGAGGGGGAGGGAGGAGGAGGAGGAGGAGGAGGAGGAGGAGGGGGAGGAGGAAGAGGAGGAGGAGGAGAAGATGAGTCAACGTAGCCATGCGGGCCACGTCAACTTCTCAGGGGCCGCCGCGGGAGCCACGCTCAGGGCGGGTCGGGGCACGCTGCGCCTCCCGCACCTTGTAGAACGTCTCGGGGTTCAGTTCCAGCTACACCCGTTGGGTCTTGTGGGAGTCTGAGCGCGTGGCGAACCGCAGCGCACCTGTTCACCATCTCCTGGTACAGCGACCTGCGCTCTGGCGTGTGGTCCTTCATCATGTGGTACACTCTGCAGGCGACCGCCATGCGGGCCACCGGGCTCTGGATGCCGTTCTCCCCCATCATGTCCTGGCAGCCGACGCGAACCAAAAGGTTGTTGGAGAGTATCCCGCGCGGTTTCGTCATGTGGTGATGCATCCTCGGGCGGATCATGTAGTGGTCAATTTGATCATGGGCCTCGCATCCGTGGAGGCAATCCTTCTTCCTCTGCAATGCGTGCATCTTCTGCGATTCGGTTCATGCGCCAGCCAATGTCTTCATCGTGGCCCACAGTCGGGCTGGTGGGAGAGATGCCAGGTGTGAGCGCAACCTGAACCAGCGAGCCTTCAAGTCGCCAGGGATATGCGCGATGCTAAGGAAGTCGGGCTCGTCCTCGTGATTCGACTCTTTCGAGGGCCCTTCGGGCATGTCGTCCTCTACCTCCAGCGGGAGCGCGTCAGGGTCGACCAATCGGCGACGGGCACAATGTTCGGCAGCAAGCGTCTCGCGATGGGCAGCCTGTGCACGGATATCAGCTTGTCTAGGGCCAGCGTTGCCGAAGAGACGAAATTCAAGGAGGGGGCGCGTGGCGGCGCTGCCCCGCCACCCTTGCCTGCGCATGTCATGTGCAATCAGTCGGCGCTGCGCAGGTGAGATGTAGAGTGGGCGTAGTTCCGCTCGTTGAAGCGCGACCTCGAGGTACGTCTCGCATCAATGCAACCAATCCCCCTCGTTGTCGAAGTTGCCCGGGTCGGTGAAGGTGTCAAGTGGCCAGCGAGCAGCCAAAACGCCACTGCGTTGTTGAAGACGACGTTGTGCGTCCTCAGCCTGTGAGCGCGCGTGATCACACGGGCGGCGGGCGTGCTGGTTGCCAAAACGAGCAGGGCACCATGGCGTGAATCTGCGCTTGATCGTCAAGTGCATGGTGTCCTCGTAGAGCTTATCCTGCAGGGCTGGCAGGCGGGCCTTCTGCGGCGCGCGCTTCTTCTTGGGCGGGTTGAGGTCGTCGGCCGTTGGCGAGGTAGCAATCGTTGCTTTCGTTCCCTGTCTCGCAGCGCGCTGATTTGCGGCTTGGAGCCGCGCTCCGGCAATGGAGTTGACGGCGCGCGCGGTCTTCTTGAAGATGGAGCCCTCGCTATCGACGAAAGACGTGGAATTGAGGGTGCCACGTAGACGTTGCAGCACAATGGATGCGGGGAGCTCGGCGTAGAGGTGGCCCCAGATGTCTATCGCGACGCGGGCGGCGCGCCATTGTGGCTGCAAGCGGCATCTCGATGCCATGGGGCGACCCCGCGTTTGTCCAGGGGGCCATGACCTGGATGTCGGACTTGGCCAAGCTGTTGGGCGCGGCGTGCAGCAGCTCTCCGCCGCGGCGAAATGGGTCGCGAAGGCGCGCGGGGGTGATGCCGCGCTCGCCCGCGCGCGGGCGCTGACCCCCCCGCCCCGGGCGTCTTGCAGTTCCGCGCTGAGCACCCGAACGAAGGGGTCGAAGACTAAGGCCCAGACGGTTCCGCTGGGGGGGCATCCCTGTACCAAGGCAGAGGCAAGCCAGCGGCATGAAGTAGCGCGCGCGTTGCAGCTGCAACGCGCGCCCAGGAATGCCCTGCCGAGCGAGGACAGCCCGCAGGCATTGGTGGCCGAGCCTGGGGGAGGCGGCGGCGATGCCCATGCTGACGAAGACAGGCATGTCGGCGTTGGCTGATGAGGGCATGCTCGGGCGCCTCGCCTTGGCATCGGCTGGCGCCGCTGCTCCGCAATAGTTGGCGGCCGCCCACAAGGCTTTGTTGTTCGACTGCGGTGTCTGCTGCGATAGTGCGCTGCAATCTGTTGGCAGCTGATGCAATCAATTTAACGCCCGTGCTCTTCATTGAGGGATGCCTGAAACAGTCGGGCGAACGCGCGCATTCGGCTCTGCCCAGTGGCTGCATGGCCAGGAGAGAGAAGTTGAGGTCGCGCGGTGGCATGGCGTTGTCAAAGCTAGCAATGTCCAGGGCCAGCTCGGCCAGCACGTCGAGGGCGGACGGGGCGCGGGGCCGGGCGCGGCAGGGGGGGCGGTCAGGCCATGGGGCAGAATCTTGGGCGCGTTTGGCAGCGCGGCGCAGGCGTTCAGCACCGGGCGCAGGGGCGCCCCGCGGAGAGCGCCGGGGGAGAACAAAGCTGCGGCAGTCGGCGATGACCACCTCGTGTCCTTGCTTGGCGGCAACGGCCGACTCCCAGCGGTTCGTGATAGCGTTGTGCATGACGGCGGGGTCGGAGGCAATGTTAACGCGCGTGCCCGCGACGAGCTCGGTGCCCGTCAGGGTCGAGCGCTTCGGGCATGGCTGCCATAGCTCAGTTTTACATCCTTCCTGCCTGGATGTTCGGCTCCATCGGCCCCCCAATCTCACGGTGGTCTCGGCGCGTGCTGCGCGCTAGCGAGCAGAAGCCTTCGCCTTGCGCTCCTCGATAACAGCAGAGTGCGCGGCGTCGGTCTCGGCCTGGCATGCAGCAGGGTCCTCCAGGGGCACTTGGCTGTTCATGCTGAGCATCTGCTGGGCGGCGACCCACGCGCTCTTGATAAGCGCGTCGGCAAATCGCGCGTCCTGATGCCAAATTGAGCTGGATATGCTTCTCAACGACAGGGCGCGCGCTGCCTTGGAAACGCTGACCGTCGCGCCATTGAGTTCGGAGGTGGCAATCTTGGTTATGGTGTCTCGGGTCTGCTTGGCGGCCTCGGTCGCTGCGTTCTTCGTGGCCCTTCGCTTCGTTGTTGCGTTCAGGTCGGCGGTGTCGATGTCGCCCAAGATGTTTTCAAAGCTGATGCTGAAACTGAGGCGGGTCGAATGCGAGGGCAGGAGCGCCGCGTTCGTTTTTTTTTTGGTGGTGGTGGTGGGGTGGGGTGTGTGTGTGTGTGTGTGTGTGGGGGGGGGGGGGGGGGGGCGCTGCTGGCGAGGGCGAATGCGAAAGTGCATGGTCTTGTCGTCGCTACCCGCGTCGTCGGAGCCCTCCAACGGCGCGTTGTTGGTCACAGCAGCGTCTCCATATTGGGCGTCGCGTGGGCAGGGGGCGAGATGGCGCAGCAGTCGACTGTGGACTCCGACATGGCCGCCATGTTTCTGCGCGCGGTGGAGAGCGAAATGATCTCCAGCATCTTTGAAGATGCTGCGCTAGAAGCGTGTATATCTAGGCGGGCGCGGCGTCCGCGTCGACGGGCGCGTCGAGGCTCTCGGGCGGGTGCTCGGCGACGTTGAAGTCGCCGAGCAGGACGAGAAGGCGCCCCTGTGGACGCTCGGCAGCACGGGCACGTCGCTGTCGCCAATGGGCGACGATGCCGACGCGGTCGCGAAATGAGAGGTCGTGGTTGCGAACGTTCAGGATGTTCACGTCCGTCTGCCCGCTTGTGCCCGCGACTCGGAGCCAGGCCGCTCGCCCTGGAAAGACCACTTCGACAAGGCGAATTGGGCGCTCTTCGGGTGGACAGGTTCGCTCGGCCTTGCCGAAGGGGCCGAGAAAGCCGATCCCGCTGGCTGAGGTGGACAACGCCGATGGGTCGAGCGAACACTCGCGGTTGATCTGCACCTGGGAGTGGTAGGCGAGGTAGGAATGCTCGGTCGAATTCGCCAGGAGCGTGGGGTCCTCCAACGTGCCTTGCATCTCCTGCAGCGCGATGACCACCCGCTGGCGAAAGAGCGGGATGATATTAGGACGCTTTTGTTGTCGTCGAGCGTCAGGACGTCCACGGAGTGCCTGCTTGCTCCAGAAGGCAATGCTGCGGCCCTCCGACGCAGGCTTGAGGAACCATGGCGGCCATCTCGTGCCAAAGCCACTACGCAACCGTGAGTGGGTCCGCGAATGCGGTGGCGAAGTCGGATGCGATGGCTTGCTGGTGTTTGTCGTCGATGCCGAGCGCCCTTGCAGCTTCTGTCCAGCGCACACTAGAAGAATGACCGGGAGAAGCGCCAACCATGACCTGAACTAGCGCGTCCCCTTGGTGCGAAATGTATCCTTGGGAGCGGTGTACGCGCACCGCGCCGACGTCGGTCTTGGACTGCAGGATCTTTGCAATCTTCTTGATTTGCACCTCCCTGCGAACCATCTTGGGGATCGCGTCCCCGCTGGCAAAGAGAGCGTGAGAAGAACCACCCACCATGATATTGAAGTCTCGCCAAGACTTGCCGATGCGGGGGGCTTCATCAAGTCTTCGGGCTCTGGGTTCGGCGACGAAGGTGCTTCCTGTGACCGAGAGGGTGTCTCTTGAGGGGGCCTGCTGTTGGAGGCGATCTGGGCGGGGTCGACCGCGGCAACTTTGAACCAGTCGGCGAGTGCGGCACCAGTCGCGACAGCGCAGACGCACCAGAACGTGACAGGATCGGGCTCGCGGTCCCAGGTGCCGAAGGAGGCGAAACCGATGGAAGGCGCGCGAACTTCGGCTGCTGCGACCACTGCTTCGATCTTGGCGACCGAGTCTTTGAGCTCCCTGTTCGTCTGCTCCGCGCGGTCTATCCTCTGCTTGACCATGTATACCTCTCTCTGTGCACTCGCTCTTTTCCGTGACTTCCTTCGCGATGGCGGTGGCCGGCTGCATGAATTCGGCGCGGGCTGCCTGTGTGACATGCTTTGCTGTTGCTTCGAACTGGGCAGCTGCTGACCGGACTTCTTCTGAGAGGGCCTCCTCGAGCTGCTTGCGGACGTGTGCAAGAAGGGCTTCAGCTCCAAGTTTTGACGCTGATTCCGCCCGTGGGCCCAGTCCTTTGCCAGCGGCTACTTTGAGGGCTCCAGCTGCGGTGACCGATCTCCTACTTCCATCCTCGACACGCATGGCGGAAAGAGGTGGCCCGTGCCAGCGTGGATATGGAACGATCTGAAGGCCAACGCTGCGGGCGCAGCGTGACAAAAATGGGTCCTGAGCTGGCCCTGGACCAAAGATCTCCGCTTCCTGCAGCGGGGCTAAAAACATCTTGAGCCAACATGGCTACGGAGGAGGAGGAGATGGAGGAAGAGGCGGTGGACGACCCCGAGATCCTGGCGTCGCATTTTTCCCGCACCCGGCGATTCCGCCATATTTCGGGCCCTAAGACCTTTGCGGATCGATCCGGCACGAACAATACAACAGAAAGATGGTGTCTCGGGCTCCCGTCGTGATTCTCTACGATGCTGCATGATCTTCGTGACGTAAGAGAGGAGAGGTGGAAAGGCAAAAAGGGGAGGGGAAGGCAGTCAATCGAGATGTTGTTTGTTCGTCAGAAGATCTGGCCGCCGCACTGCCGCCTACGCCGCAGCACGATCACGAAGGTTGTCTCTCGACCGAGCTGCGCGTGCGTAATCACCGTCGACGAGATCGGGTCCACTTTAGCTTTGACGGGCGCAAGCCCAGGATACCAAGACGCCAATATTTTTGCGATCGTAGCTGCTATGATGTGTCCACGTGCAGGCGTGAGCGACCTTCGAGCAAATTGGCCTTTCTTCGAGTCCTGCGAGAATCACCCGCTCGAGTCTGAATCAGCGCCAAACTTCATTTGCAGGACGCTTGCCGATGTCCTGATCGAAGAAGAGCAGCCGCCCGAGCGGGGGCCGGGATGCGCCTTCAGAGCTTGAAGAAGACCCCTTCCATGAACCTCGACATCATGTCCTTTCACAACTTTCACCCAGGAATGCCGAACATAAGAAACAGCCTCCTGTGATTTGTTTTTTCAAGACGCGATGGGGGTCTGGGTTGTACGTGGGGTGGAGCTGACTCGTGACGCTGGCCTCCACCCTCTGTGCAATAGCCGTCGGGCCGCTCCAGCAGCTGGCGCTCCACGTGCCCTGGGCACCCATCACCAATGGCAGCGGTGATTCCGCTGTCCCCTTGGGTGCGGCATAGAAGTGCCTCCATGCTGTCAGGGTCTTGGACGCCGCCCTCCACATCGATGTAGACAGGAGCATCTCAATGCCGACTTGCGTGCCCACGGGACTCCTTCGGGTGCGCGCTGCGAGTATGCCTGTCTCTGAACATCTTGAAGGAAGCGCGCGCAGAAGTTTGTGACGGAGGGGGAGGAAGAGGAAGACACAACGAGGAATACGACGATGAGGATGCGAAGGATGATGAGGGAGGGCAAGCGAAGGTCATGAGGGAGGGAACGGGAGGAGGCGGATGATGATGATGATGATGAGGAGGAGGAGCAGGCGGCAGGGCAGGAGGGGGGTGAAGGAGGAGGGGGAGGAAGAGAACGAGGCTGAGACGGAGGACGGGGAGCAGGACGAGAACGAGGAGGAAGGTGAATGAGGAGAAGGAGGATGAAGAGGAGAATAAGGAGGAGGTGGGAAGACATGGACGAAGGCACCCCCTCGAGCCTGGATGTCGTGCGTCAGGAAATCACCAGAGAACGCCATGATGATCTCCTGCGCGCGCTCGCTCGGCGAAGCGAGCGGCGGGGGGCGGGGCAGAGGTTGGACAGGAGGGCCAAACGGGGGAGAGCCAGACGACGGACGAGACCGCATGAGGGATGAAACCGGAGGGGGAAGGAGGGGGAGACCAAGACCCCCTCGCGTCGTGGAGCAAAAGGCACGGCGGGCATCTGCCTGCTCTTTTTGGCCTCGATGGGCCCTCGCCGGGCCACCGGTACCAAACAAAAACTCTGGATGAAAAGCCAGTCCCGGGGAGCGCTCCACAGTGCGTACCTCAACGGATACTCTGAGAGCAGAAGGCAAGATGCCCAAGATAGCAAACATGTTGGCCTTTCCACCCCCTGCTGTTGGATTGCACATGACGGTTTGTTTGAAGGAGCGCCACGGTTATGTTTGCAGGGACGCCCGGGAAGAGGAGGTGTATCCCCGCACACTGCGCTCACGGTCAACCTTCACAATGCGAGCGCGCGCCGCACGCACGGGCGGGCCCGTTGAGCGAAACGGGCTTCGCGCGGGCGCCGAGCGACGGTCTCGGGAGACCCAGTTCGACGAGGTGTGCTGGGCGGCTAAGAGGCCTCACCAGTCATACCCGTGCCCAAAACCTTTGCGAAGTGTCACACATTCGGCGGGCGGCCGCGAGTTTGATGGGCCAAGAAGGTGGGCAAACAACTAGAGAGGATGCGACACAGAAGTCGCTTGCGTCAACATAGCAAATGACACGGTTGCGGTCGGCATCAAGCAGTGCATAAATCACAGCAGAGGAGGCACTAGCTTGGAGATGGCGAAAGATAGCACTCTGCGCTGCAAGCCTGCCGTCAACGACCACGCCAAAATACGAGGTGGACGTCCTCACGAGCGCTATTAAAGCCGGTCGCGCCTGAGCCACGCAGGCGCGCAGGGGTCGGATTAATCCCTGCTGGCCTTCTAGCGATCGGCACGCCTAACGAAACAACTTAATGAATCCATTGAATATGGAAACCGCTTTGACCGAGGGTCGAAAAAAACAATATTCTGTGAATCTCAACCTGTCAATGACCAGATCCAGCATCCGGACCTCGGCCAGATTAGAGCACCTTGCGTGCTGCGAAGGGTAAGACCTACAGTTCTTCGAGGCGGGGATGGCCAGAAACGCGATGCCTGAAGTATATGCTCATCTACGTCTCACCCCATGGCAAATTCCCTGGGTATGGTTTGTAAATGGGCCTGCGAAGATATGGGACGCACCCCTGCCAAAAAATTGATCCGCGAAATCCCGCGCACCACGACACTCTGGCACGGCCGAAAATTGGATCGATTTGCATGTGCGACACGAATACGGTTGCGGGGCCAGCCTCCTTCCGTATACCGTCTATGAACGAAGCGATTGACAACCAGGTCGTTGAGAACATTGTCTTTCAACCTCTGACATATCAAATCACATGCACACCTTCTGATTACAGATATTATGCAAACTTCAATCACCTGCCGACGAGATTCCTCCCGCAATTTGATCAAGCCAATCCGGAATTCTGTGATGGCGTTGGTCTGAAGAGACGCGTTGTCAGACATGCATAAATTCGCACTTTTGGGCGTAACTTGGGACCGCTTCTCTTCTTTGAAACAGATCCTCACCCCGAAAACCATCACAATGCGTCGAGATGACATTTCAATCAAGCCCGTGGTGGCTCCGATCATCTTCGGGCGAATCGTTTTTCAAATGCTGCGGCAATTCCCTGATCAGATCTGACGCCGGGGCTGTTGCTAGGGCTGGAGGAGTCACACGCGGACCAATCGTGTGAAGTGATTGCGGGGGTGCACGAAGCCAAGGACATTACCTATTCATATTTGCTGCACCCGTGGGGGCAGGGACCCACACACCAACGCATCACCTTCCAGCGTTACTTTGCTAGAGTTTACTCGAAACCTCGCGGCTTGAGCCAGAAAGGCTTCAGCCGAAACTGCACCAGAGACCCGAGAGCGCCCCGTCAGCACTCCCGGAAGGCCCCGCCGCACGACGCCGTGGCACAGAGCAACGTCGTGGAACATCACGGCTGAGCCCCCGACGCCACCTCCGCACGGGATCCCTTGAGCCACATCGATCCGCGACGGTGGCCCTCGGGGGTGCCCGGAACGGGGCCACGACGCCCTGGGCCCCTGTCAGAGGAGCTGCCCAGCCTGCGCCGTGCTCTTGTCCGCCGCGGGGGCGCGCCGCCTCGCTGAAAAATAAATTAGCCGTGGACCGGAAGGGGTCCTGCGAAAAAGGGGCTCCGGGCCGTGGGGCCGCCCTGGGAGGGTGACGTCCATGACTTTCCGTACGTTCTTGACGTCGTCGTCGTCATCGTCGTCGTCGTCGTCGTCGGCGGCCTCGGCGTCGGCGTCGGCGTCGGCGTCGGCGTCAGCGTCGGCGTCGGCGGCATCGTCGTCGGAATCGTCCTCAAAGACGTCGTCGTCGCCGTCGTCGTCGTCGTCGTCGACGTCGGCGTCGTCGCCGTCGTCGTCGTCGCCGTCGTCGTCCTTCTTCAGGGTCGGCGGCACTGGCCGTAAGGCCTTCGCAATGACTGACCGTGGGCTCGAGGGGTCCTGTGGGAGGGGGGCCAGAAACGTTCAGGGCGAGAATGGTGGCGTGAGGCGATGGGCCCAGGATGCGATCCAGGAGTTCTGAAGTATCTACGGTCAAGAATTTCTGCTTGAAATTGTCGCGGCGGCGGCCTCGGCGACACGCAATGCCATGCGAGCTGATAGCTGCCGCTAGCTTGCCGCTCCGCTCCGCGGGGCGGGAGGCTCGGAAAAACTCGGGATGTTGACGCTCTTGGGGACTGGGGCAGCGCCGAAGCGCGGAGCGACACGCCAAACCACAACTCCGGACCGCATCTAGCGGCCCCCGTTTCGGGAGCCCGCGCGGAACAGTTGGAAATCCAGGTAGTTTTGGAAACCTTGGGACGAATCGTTATCATGATTCTTGCCCCTCTAATAGAGGAACAAAGCACGGCATCAGACATATGTCTTGGAGGTCCGCGCGGGTTTCTTGGATCGACGCTGGACCCCCCCCCTCATTGGCGCGCGGAGCGTGCCAGGAGCGGCGCCGGTGGCGCCGCTAGGGGGCCCCAGCGCCGATCCAAGAATCCCTCGCGGAGCTCAAACAAATTGTCCTTATGTCGTTCCACCTTCTCCTCGATCTTCGATTTAACCTCTCCCTCAAGACTTGTATCTAACCTTTCCCTTCGAGCTAACTTTTGCCTTGCACCTTGAGAAATATTATTCGATCTGACCTTGGAGGCGGCCAGGGTGTCTGAACTGGATGGACCTCGAAAATATATCAAGAGGGGGGATACTGGCAAATCCGTTCAAAATCGATCCGTGGACCCTTCCCAAGGTCCATCTGGTGCAACTTTTCACACCGGATCCGTTTTTGACGGCTCTTGGGCCCGAAAACTACATCCAGAGGCCAAACAAGGAAAAGAACGTCCCCGAACCCAGAATCTCGAACCTCGCCACCCCTTCCTGCTGGCCAGAACCAGTGCTGGACCATCTCCGACTCCAAGCTGGCTCCAACCTGCATCTAACCGTTCTCTCCGATCTAACCATTCCTTGCATCTAGAGAATTATTCTGAGATTTGGGTTTTCCCTTAAGAGCCTTCGTAGAGCTCATTACGAACGAGGCCCCGCCGCAGGGTGGACGCGGCAGTAGCCGACCCGCGGCGAGGCACATTGCCACTGCGTAGGGTGCGGACCAAAAAAGAAGCGAGGCCGCTGCAGAGTCGGCAGGAGGCATTTGTTTTTCTTCGGACATAACCGAGGTTATCCGGTGGGGATGCCCGCCAATAACTTACTATTTTCGCTTTGGGCAGCCTCACGTATGTCATCGCGATACAGCACTGCGTACCTCCTTCGGACTTGTGCATCCTACAAGGTCAGGCTATCCGGGGGGAACGGGGGGCGGGCCCGATAGCCCCGGCTGTCGCTGGACCCTGGACAAAAACACTCTCCAAACCCAGGCCCCCTCGCGTTGCTCGCGCTGTGACAAAACACTGTTGGTCAGCGGCGAGCTGCAGGCGGTCGGCAATCGTCGGGGAGCGACGGGAGCGAATGAGGCACAATGGAATGCAAGAAAGGAGGAGGGGGATGGCCGCGAGAAGGCCAGAGCGTCCTCAGAACGTGAAGAACTTCGGGATGTGCCAAGGACAAGCTTAAGAGTTCCACGCTGTCAGTGTGGGCGCATGTGCACCGCACATGCAAGTAAAAAGCACGACGGGACATTTTCTGCTATTTTCTGCCTCTGGGGGCCCTCGCCGCACGCCGTCCAAAAACGACTCAGGAGGAAAGACCGGTCCCGAGAAAGAGGTCCAGACCTCCGAGAGCCGACGCTATAAGCAAAACGCAACGTCGGGGGCCTCAATATCGGTCCTGGACCTTTCTCGCCCGGCCGGCCGGGGCCAGCTGTTCATCCCGAAGCGCTCTCGGACGGTCCCGGGGCCCGGGGAGGGCCCGATCAGGGGCCCGAAAGTGGCCGAACATCTTGGGCGGCGCACGTGCTCCGGGGCAAGCAGCGTACCGAGAGGTCAGGAGCTGCTTGGGCAGCGCCTTCCCCTATCGCAGTGACTGGACGTCCTCGACTGTCTGACCATTGTCCTGCTGGTGCAGCGAGGCTCTCGGCTGCTAACCTGACATGGGATGCGGGACTGTCCCAGACCCCGTGCTCGCAACTTGGGAGACCCACTTCCATCGGGGCCCGTTTGCTTCATGGCGAGCACCCCGACATCTGCTGATTTTCTCAACCCGCGGCCCCAAAGGTCGCTACCCCTTCCACGCGGGTGGATCTGCGGCCCGCATCCACTCTTGGTGGTGCCAGGGCCCGAGACCCAAACATGCGATGTTCTGATTTGTTTGTATACGCGGTCCCCGGAGATCCGGACCCTTTTCCCAGGGCCTTTTCTCACCCCGAGTGGTGTTTTGACGGTCCTGGGGCCTGGGCGGGGCGCCAGAGGGCGAACATTGAGAAACCCATCCGTCCTCACTGGTTCAAGAACTTGCATGTCTGGGGAACAGGCCCCAAAGGCCGACATCGAGGGAACACGAACGCACTGAAAACATCATACCGTTGGAGATCTAGGCTTGCTTCATGCTTCGTGCCTGCATCACCTTTTGTCTCCTGACAAAGGCTTGCGTCTGGACTCTAGACTCTGGACGAATAAAACAATCACCAACCCCACCGGGGAAACCTGGGTCCCGCTGGCAGATCTACTGCCCCTAGGCTGGGATGGTTCCCGTCTCATTCGGGTCTCGCGGCGCCGATCCCCACCTGGAGGGGGTACGCTGGGAAGGCCAACTTACCCTGCCCTGGTGGGGATGGGGACGGCTCCGACGATGCGGATTGCGGGCCTTGCGGGAGCTCTCTTTTTCCGCCTGGCCGCGCGCTGGTGCCGCCCGTGCCGGCGTCGCTGTGCTGCAGCCTCTCTCGACGGCCCCCCAGCGTGCCGGGCGCCGCGGCCACGGGGCCGAGGGGCTGCCGCGGCCGGCCCACCTGTGGCAGGACACGTCGGCATCGAATCGGCATATCGGATCGAATCGACATGGGGCGGTTCAACGATGGGGCCCTGAGGAGTGGGGGCCTAGGGGCAGGAAGGGATCCAAGCGTGAATTTACCTTATCTGATGCACCTCGTCCTTAGGTCCCAACCAAGAAATTTGCATCGAGTCTGGCTGCATCGGCACAACATCGAAATCGAATCGGATTGGCTGCGCCAGGACCAGGATGCACAACAGTGCCGCACAAGCATCGGGCGGCATCGGATCGCCCGAAGATGGGCATCGAATGGAATCGGGCCAGCAGGAGCCGATGTCGAATCGGATCGATCGAATCGAAGTGGACCCTGCCTGTGGGCGGCGTGCGCGAGGGGCCAGGCTTGCGCCCAGACCCCCACCGCGTCGTGACAAAACTCGCGACGATGACTTCCTGACAACTCTCGACAGCTGGGGGCGCTCGCCGGGACCCAGGGCCGTGAAAGAACGGCTCGGGATGAGAGGCCGGTTCCGGGGGAAGGATCCATACTTAGGGGGGGTCCACGCTGTGATGACAAACCATGACGTTGGGGGTCTCGGGGTCTGGGACCTCGTCGGGGGAGGAGGTTCGAAGAGGTTCGAAGGTCGGGGTTGTCGGACGTTCTCGTGCCGGAAGAGGGCCTCCAGAAGCCTCCATGAGACCTCTGCAGAGGCCTCAGCGGGTCCTCCAGAGACCCTGTGCAGGCGTCTGGGGACAGGGGCCTCTGGCGGATTCAATCCTGGCGTTTTTCGGCCTGGTCCGCCATGCTTTCAGGCCCCGGGGACCAAGAGCCCAGGAGCGGGGACCAAGAGCCCAGCCCAGGACCAAGAGGCAGCCTCAGGGAAGGGCCCGATGGGTGAGAAAGACAGTTCTCATGTCGGGAGGAAGGGGTCGGGAAAATACAGGGTACGACTGTGCCGTGAGCACATTCAGCATGCGCGGTACTCTTAATGATGTGTCTCCGCGCCATTTGTTCTCAACGCGGCCGACACCACGGCAAGCCCACAACAAAACCTGCGAACCCGCGCCCCAGCCAGACGACGACGCCAGCACTGCGGCACACCCCATAACGAGCCCACCGCGCCCGAAGGCGGCGTTTGCCTTCTGGCCGAGGCGCCCTCCCCAACACAAGAGGCCGCGCATCGGAACAAACGGCACAGCGACACATGGTCCGCTTTTCCAGCCCCATCCCCCCAACCGACAATTACGACCCCCGGATGTCCCGGAAAGGTAGGGCCCGTCGCAGGGCAGGAGAGCCCGTGAGAGGCGAGATGCCTTCGCAGAAGCCCCGCCCCCGACGCCCAGGGGACCGACAGCAGAATTGATTTACCCAAGAAGTGCTGTCGTCGTCGTCGTCGTCGTCGTCGAAACGAATAACAAATACATATAATGTGATTGTAGATCTTCGGACATGGTATGTTTTCTCTGTAGATTCTCAGAAATGATCGACCCACGAACCCAGGAAGGGATTGAGAACTGCGAGGCATGGAACCGTTTCCAAGGACCTCAATTGCATATGCAACTCTGCGATGCAGGGGGGCATGCCAGGGGGACACGCCGCGGAACGTCCCAAGGGACGCGCCAGCGGACGTGCCAGGGGACGTGCCATGGGGACGCACCGCGGGACGTGCAAAGGGACGCGCTACGGAACGTGCCAATTGAGGTGCCACGGGACGTGCCAGGGGACGCGCCGCACGACGTGCCAGGGAGACTCGCCACGGTACGCGCCACGGAACGTGCGAGGGTTCGTGCCAGGCGACGCGCCAGGCGACGCGCCAGGGGACGTGCCAAGGAACGTGTCTGGGAACGTGCCACGGGACGTGGCACGGGACCGCGCTCCCAGGCAAGCGCCTCCCCCCCGCCCTCTCCCCTCAGACACTGCGGAATCAGAAAGGGGCAACGCACGGCGGACCCATGAACGAAGCCATTACGACGGGACCGCGCTCCCAAAGCCACGGTCTCTCGTAAACTACGCTGCATCCGCAATCCCTGGGCTGCGATCACTCATAAACTCCGCTGCGTCCGCGCTCCCAAGACAACGATTTATAGTAAATCACGCGGCGCCCGCGCTCTTAGGGCCGCGATCTCCTGTAAATTACGCGGGAGTTACGCTCTTAAGGCCACGGCCCCTGAAGTATTACGCTGGATTCGCGCTCCCAGGGCAACGACCCCTTCGGAAATTTAGCAGGATTCAGGCTCCACGGCCACGGTCTCTCGTCAATTACATTGGGCTCGCGCTCCCAAGGCCACGGTCCCTCGTAAACTACGCTGCGCCCGCGCTCCCAAGGCAACGATCCATCGTAAAGCACGCGGCGTCCGCGCCACCAGGTCCACGATCCCTCGTCAATTACATTGTGTCCGCGCCTCCAGGGGCAGGATCCCTGATCAATTACACTGTGTCCGCCCCCCCAGGGCAAGGATCCTTTGTAAATTACGCTGCGTCAACGCTCCCAGGGCCACGATCCATTGTAAATGATACCTGAGAAAAGCCCCAATCATTATCTTTTTAGGGCTGTATAGGGCTATATGGGCTATAGGGCTATTGGGCCATAGGGTAACAGAGCTACAGGGCTATAGGGCTATATAGAGTATAGGGCTATAGGGCTATACGGCTATAGGGCTATAGGGCGATCGAGCTATAGAGCAATAGAGCTGTAGGGCTATAGGGCTATAGGGCTATTGGTGGGCTATAGGGCCATAGGGCTCTATAGGGCTATAAGGCACCCCCGGGCCCCCGGGCAACCCCGGGCACGCCCGGGCACCCGGGCACCCAAGCACCCGGGCACCCGGGCACCCCCGGGCATCCGGGCGTGCAGGGAAAATCGGCGGCAAACCCAACCGAACCATTTGAATCCGCTAGGACCCCTATAGAGGCAAGCTCTGATTGGGGATATACGCTGCGTCCGCGCCCCCAGGGCCACGATCCCTTCTACATCACGCTGCGCCCGCTCTTTCTGAGCCACAATCTCTTGCGCTCCCAAGGCCGCGCTCCCTCGCAAATTACGCTGTGTCCGCTCTCCCAGGGTCACGTCCCCGTGTGCATTACTCTGTGTCGCGCTCCCAGAACCACCTGGGCATCCTGGGGCGCCCAGGCCGCGCAAGTGCTGCAAACGAAAACGTGTCGCGTGAGACATCCTCAAATTTTCGGCGCGCAGGGCGCGCCATCCTCGAGCGGGCACGCAACAAGTCTACTTTTGTTTATCTTTCTTGTGGGTTCTGCGCGAAACGCTCCGCACCTCATTTCTTACCAGCGAAAGCGTGTGTCTGTGGACCTTGTTATCTATCGAGGATCCAAGATAGCGGGCATATTTTCCTGCGCGAGCCGCATTCTTGAAGAACATCGACTTCACAGTGGCATTTATCGCAAATGATTCCGCTGGTGCGCGCAGGGCGCGCCATCCTTGAACGGGCAGGCCAAAGGTTGTATGTATGTTTTGTTTAGCATTTCCTTACAAATTTCAACGCTTCCATACCTCGTGTCTTATCGCGGAGTCTGCGCAAAACGCTCCGCACCGTGTTTTTCGACAGAGGAAACAGTGGGTCTGCGGATCCCGTTTATCGAGGGTCCGAGATAGGGGGTGCATTTTCCTAGAGCGGGTGCGCGCGAAACGTATCTCAGCAAGTCGAGGCCGGGGGGATAACCTACTAAAAGGGGACCCTGGGCCCACGCCCTTTCCAGGAACTATCGATTCTGCGTTGAGTCAATGCTGTAGCCGGTCTTCTACACTCCAAACTTCGACTAAGACATTTTCGAGTAAGAAATCGAAGCCCAGCTTCGCTGAATTTCTTAACCTCTTGCGGGAGCCAACTTTGAACACGAATTTTCTTAACGCAGTCTCAGGTGGGAGATCTGGAAGAAGATTCGAAGGAATACCTGGAGGAAGATGTGGAGGAAGATCTGGGCGAAGATCTGGGGGAAGATCTGAAAGAAGATCTGGAGGTAGATCTGGGGGAAGATCTGGGTGAGAATCCGGAGGGAAATCCAGAGGAACATCTGGAGGAAGGTCTGAAGGAAGATCTGGGGGAGATCTGGAGGAAGATCTGGCGGCAGATCTGGAGGAACATTTGGAGGAAGATCCGCGGGAAGCTCTACAGCGAGATGTAGCGGGGGATCTGGGGAAATAGCCCGAGGAAGATCCGGGGGAGGTCTGGAACATTTGCGGGAATAGTGGAACCTCTGGAGGAAGATCCAGAGCAGACCTGGAGGAAGATACGGGGGAAGATTTAGGTCTGGAGAAAGATCCGAAAGATGATCTGGAGGATGCTCTGGGGGAAATAGGACAGAACATCTGGAAGACCATCTGGGAGAACATCTGGAGCAATCTATGGAAGAACACCTGGAGAAGATACGGAAGCAGATCTGGGGGAAGATCTGGAGGAAGATTCGCGGAACGATCCAGAGGGAGATCACAAGTAAGATCTAGAGGAGGAGCTGTGAGAAATCAGAGTGAAGATAAGGGAAACACTTGAGGAAGATCTGGAGGAGGATCTGGAGGAAGATCTGGAGGAAGATGTGAGGAAACATCTGGGAGTTTATATGGAGGAATGCCTGGGGGGATCTGGATGAAGATCTGGGGGAAGATCTCGGGTAAGATGTGAGGGAAGATCTGGGGGAAGATCTGGGAAAGTATGGGGAAAGATCTGGAGTGAAAATCTAGAATCAGATATGAGGGAAGATCTGGATAAATATCTGGTGGAAGATCTGGGGCAAAATCTGGGGGAAGATTTGGGAGGAGACCTGGGGGAACATCGGACGGAGGGGGGAAATCTGGGAGACGCTTTGGGAAGATCTGGAAGAAAATCTGGAGGACGATCTAGGAACATTCTGAAGGAATACCTGATGAAAGATCCGGGAGAAGATCTGGGGGGAGATCTGGGAGAAGATCTGGGAAAGTACGGGGAAAGATCTGGAGTGAAGATCTAGAATCAGATCTGAGGGAAGATCTGGAGAAATATCTGGTGGAAGATCTGGGGGAAGATCTGAAGGGAGATCTGAAGGAAGATGTGAGGAAACATCTGGGAGTTTATATGGAGGAATACCTGGGGGGATCTGGATGAAGATCTGGGGGAAGATCTCGGGTAAGATGTGAGGGAAGATCTGGGGGAAGATCTGGGAAAGTATGGGGAAAGATCTGGAGTGAAAATCTAGAATCAGATATGAGGGAAGATCTGGATAAATATCTGGTGGAAGATCTGGGGCAAAATCTGGGGGAAGATTTGGGAGGAGACCTGGGGGAACATCGGACGGAGGGGGGAAATCTGGGAGACGCTTTGGGAAGATCTGGAAGAAAATCTGGAGGACGATCTAGGAACATTCTGAAGGAATACCTGATGAAAGATCCGGGAGACGATCTGGGGAGATCTGGGGGAAGATCTGGAGGAAGATCTGTGGGAAGATCTGGGGGAAGATCTGGGGGGAAATTTCGAGGGAAGATCTGGGATACGATCTGAAGGAACACCTGGGGGGAAATCTGGGGGAAGATCTGAGAGGGGAGATCCGGGGAATGATCTGGAGGAAATTCCGAAGGAAAATCTCGAAGAAGATCTGGGGGAAAATCTGGGGGAAGATCCGTAAGAGTATCTGGAGGGAAATATGAGGGACGATCTGGAGGAAGATCTGGAGGAAGACCTGGGAGATCATCCGGGCAAGAATCTGGGTGAAGATCTGGGGGGAGATCTGGGGAAGACCCGAGGAGAGATCTGGGGGAAGATCTGGGGCAAGATCTGAGGGAAGGTCTGGGGGAGATCTGGGGCGAGATCCGAGAGGGATCTGGGGAAAGATCTGCGGGGGATGATCTGGGGGAAGATCTGGCGGAAGATCTGGAAGAAGACCTGGGGGAGATTGTATGACACATCTGAATAGGGGTGGTATGTGGAGGACGGCCTGAGGAAAAACTGGGAGAGACTGTAGGGAAAACATGGCGCACTTTAAAATAGAACTTTGAGCAGGTTCCGCGCGACGACCTCACGACATGAACCAGACCAATGGTTTCAAAGACGAAATTGTTGACTGGGTCCTCGAAACATATGCTGGGCATGCCGACCTAGTTGTTTGACCCAAGGGGGGGGTGAAGGGGATATCAGGAAGAACAACACACCGACTAAATAAACTGCGCGACGGAAACAGAAGAGGAGGCACGCCGAAAACCGTGAACTGGAAGATCTAGGATGAGACCTGGGTGAACGAACACTGAAAACTTAACAACATATTTGACGGTAGAAACGAACGAAACCCGTCGCGCGTAGTGCGACGAAGTTGCGGGAACCGAACGGGTGCCCAAACAGAGCATGAGTACCTCGCTCGCGCGCGAAAGCAAACCGCACACCAAACGTGTGACGCATTCCCGCGCCAGAACAACACTCCCAACAAAACAGCGGCCCAATTTGCAAAACTGACGGGCACGCGATGGGCGTTTGAACTACGGGCACCAAGTGTTCCCGAACGCGTTTAGAACAACAAACGACAGAAAACTAACACATCAGAGGAAAAACAACTAAGCACTGTTCAGCTCCAGCCCTGAGATACAGAGGAAGGTTTGGGCGCAGATTTGGGCGGAGATCTGGGCGAAGATCTGGAGGAAACTTTGGTGCAAGATTTGGAGGAGATTCGGAGGAAGATCTGGAGGAAAATCTGGAGGGAGCCCTAGGCGGAAAGCTCTTCTGGGAGATCTGGCGAGATATCTGAACAAGATCTGGAAAAGGATCTAGGAGAAGATCTGGTTGAGATCTCGTGGAAGATCTGCAGGGAGATCTGGCGGAAGATCTGGGGAAGATCTGCAGGAAGATCTGCGCGACGATCTGGCGGGAGATCTACCTGAAGATCTGGAGGAAGATGTGGCAATATATCTAAGAAAGATCTGGGGGAGACTTTGAGGGACACCTTGATGAAGATTTGGGAAAGATCTGGAGGAAGATCTGGGCGAAGATCCGGTGGCGGATCTGGGCGAAGATGTGGAGGAACATGTTGTGGACGATCGGGGGGAGATTTGGAAGAAGATCTCAATGGAACATCTTGGCGAAGATCGGGGGGAATATCTAGGGGGAGATCTGGAGGACGCTTTGGCAGAGGTCAAGAAACTGGGCCAGCTGTTTGACATTCGATATTGAAATCGTAGGAGCTCTGAGACCCAGCTTGGCGGGGGGGGTTCTTACTAGAGGTTAGGAGTGTACTCGATCGGTGCGGGCCGCCGCCCACCAGCAGAGGGTGCTGCAGCATGGAGTGGAGGTCGTCGCTGACCTCCTCCGCAGCCCTGACGACGCGCCCAGGCACGCCGCCTGTGGCAGCCAGGACTGGCGACGCCCTGAGGCGGTCCTGGGGAAGCCAAAAGGTACCAATACCGCTGCTCCATGGACCCCTCCCACGGTGCGTTCTGACACGAATCTCGAGACGAGTCCAGTCGTGACGACCAGGGCCTCCCAGGATGCCTAGAGAAGCAAGAACGAGGCAAGGGTCGGTATCGGTACCATTTCCTCCTCTGAGGTCCAGCAGCGTCCAAGGTGATGCCAGCTCTTCCTGCGCCTCGGCACCAGCGAGCGCTTCGAAGTCGCGCAGGTGGAGCTTTCGCCGCAGCCGGTCTTTGAAGAGCAGGAAGGTGCTGTGCTCGGTCATCCTCTGCTTCTGGTGAAGGACCACCTTTCCGAGGCAGGAGCCACTACGGTTGGAAACGTTGCTTCGCGTGTAGCCGCAGCGGCCCTGGCGACACGCTATGCCCTGCAACCAGATCGCGTGCCCCTTCGCTCTGCGGGGCGGCAGGCTTGGAAAAAACTCGGGACTTTGATGCTTGAGAGCCGGGCACTGGACAGCGTGTCGCGCCGCAGCGTGGTGGGCCAGCACCGGCGGAGCGACACGCTATCCAAACGTTCCCGACCGTGCATACCCAACACCCGGGGAGCCGATACCCCAGGACCCTAGGAGGCAGCAGGCATGGAACATGCTCGGGCGGGGGGTCCCCTGCCTCCTGGTATCCTGGGGCATCGGCTCCCAAGGCGGTAGATAACACGTAGAAGACCCCAGCCTCGGTGCATTGTGCCCACCCAGCGCGAGGACGTGAAGACTTTACGCGGTGGCTCACGCGGTGGCCGCCAACGCGGCACGCCGTGTCGAAGCGAAGGGCGCTTGCGCGCGACCTTACGCGCCGTCGCCGTCGTCGTCGTCGTCGTCGTCGTCGTCGTCGTCGTCGTCGTCGTCGTCGCGTCACCGTCGTCCTTGCGCGCGAATGTCCGCACAACCGCATCGGCAAAATTTAAGAACGTCGCTCGCCTTGTGTCCGCCCAGCTCCGCCCAGCCCTCGCCGGGCTGCTCCCGGCACGCGATGAGCAGCCGCACCCCGGGGGAGGCCACCAGAAGGCTCCCCAGCGCGCGGGCCAGCTCCTGGCCCGAGGAGTCCCACCACGCCCTGCCCCTCAGAGACCCCAGGTGGCAGAGAGAGGAATCGGAAGACTGAATCAGTATAAACTCTCGGACTAGGCTCGAACCGTATGTTCAAAATAAAAATTCGTATCCCCAAAAAACTGCGGACAACCTCCCTGGACAACCCCTGCATGTGATTGTGGCTGGCGCTCGAGCGGCAACACAATACGCGCTTGGGGATATGGCCGGCGCTGATGCGAGAGCACCACGCCTAATGATGAGGGATGCGGCCAGCGCGCAGGCGACAGCACCAATCCCCGACGGGGATGTAGCCAGAGCTCGGGCGAGAGCACCATTCTCAATCACGGATGTGGCTGGCACTCGAGCGGCAACACTATACGTACCCAATAAAAGATGTGGCTGGCGTTGGGGCAAGAGGACCGTGCCCAATCCGGGACGTGGCCTGCGCGCAGTGTTGCGAGGATGTTTCAGGCGGAACTGGCCAGAACAGCTCTCGCGAGGCATCTCCGAACCCGAACTTGTGAGAATATCTCGGGCGAAACTGCCTGGAACGCCTCCGGCCAGGGCACCTCTGAGCTCAGAGTTGCGATGATGTCTCAGGCGAAACTTGCCAGACAACTTCGCGCGCGGCATCCTTGAGCCCAAATCTGGAGGAAGTCTCAAGCGAAACTGGCTGGGCCACCTCAGGTCAGAGTATATCGGAACCAAGGAAGTTGCGAGGATGTCTCGCAAAACTACCTGGACAACCTCGTGCGCGGTATCTTGGAGCCCAGAGTTGCGAGGATATCTCAGGCGAAACTAACTGGACAACCTCGAACGTGGCATCTCAGAGCCTAGAGTTGCGACGCCGTTGTAGGCGAAGCTGGCCAGACCACCTCTCGCGCGGCATCTCTGAGCCCAGAGAGGCGATGATGCCTCAAGCAAAATAGGCTGGATGACATCGTGCGCGGCATGTCGCAGACGAACCTGGCTGGACCACCGCAGGTCAAATCATAGGAGCCTAGAGTTGCGAGGATACCTCAGGCGGAGCTTGTTGGAGCACCTCGCATGCGCCATCTCCGAACCCAGAGCTGCCAGGACGTCGCAAGCGAAACTGGCCACACCAGCTTTCGCGCGGCACCTGACGAAATTTCAAAAGGAACGGTCCGCAACACCTCCTGTAAGGGCATATTGGAGCCCAGAGTTGCAAGGATGTCTCAAACGGCACTGCTTTGCAAACGTCGCCCGCGGCATCTCTGAGCTCATAGTTGCGAGGATGTCTTATGCGTCGCTGGCCGGGCCACTTGAGGTAATGGCATATTGGAACTGCGAGGACACCTCGAGCAAAACTGGCAGGGAAACCTCGGACACGTCATCTCGGAACCCAACATTTCGGAGCCTAGAATTGCGAAGACGTCGCATGCGGAACTTGCCAGACCACCTCTCGCGCGGCCTCTCTGAGCCCAAAACGACGACGGGCTGCGTGCGCCGTAACGCGCGCGCCACCGACGAGGCAACAACGCCGCCATCATCGTCATCGCCGTGGTGGTGGTCCGTTTCTTCTTCTCCTTCCTCCTCCTCCTCCTCCTCCTCCAAACCCTCCTCGCCCTCCCCCCATTTACTTCTTCCGTGGGAGCAGAGCGGGGGGGAGAGGAGGGGAGAGGGGAGGAGCGAGAAAAGGGAAAAAGGTGGCGAGGGGGAGATCACTGCTACGCTTGCGTCAACAATGGCTGTAGTGTGGCGGTCGCTGAACAGCTCCATGTGCGAGTAGAATTTCGTCCGGTGCGGTCGTGGTTTCTCTGGTTGCGGTCCCCGAATTCGTCCCTACGCGGGCGCGCCATTGTGACTGGTTTGGCGGCGGTCCACAAATCGGCCACCTTGCGAGGCAAGTCGCGTGCGGCGCGCTTTGGTGCTCTTCGTGGCATCGGTATCTGGATCACTTCCTGCGCGACACGGCTCGCATGCGGCACAACGTGGCGATCCTCGGAACGGTGGTATATGACTCGGTTCCCGCGCGACTTGGCACGCCCGCGACGCATCCTACGAAATTGGATGCGGCGATAGTTGGCGCTTTTCCCGCGCGAAGAGGAGGAGGAGGAGGAGGAGGAGGAGGAGGAGGAGGAGGATGAGGAGGAGGAGGAGGAGGAGGAACGTCAATACGAGGACAAGGGAGAGGACGATGGGGGAGGATGAAGTTGAGGCTGGACAACCTCCTGGGCAACCTCTTTGACAACCCCCTCATTATCTGGTGCATCGTTCGGCCCCTCTTTTGGTTCGCGCTGCTACATCACATCCGCGCGTTCCTACTATTGTTCGTTTCTCGTCAGCGCTCGTATCCCTCGCGCGATGTTTCGTCCTCAGTTTCCTCTTCGCGTCGGCCGTGCACGGCTCCGCCAATTTCGCGCCTAAGCGCCCCCCCGCAAACGATACTTCGAAGCAACGTGTCCTTTACAACCCTCCACAAACGTCTGACGCGACATGCCGAAGCGGGCGAATTCTGCCAAACGGCATCGGAGGAACAGCGACATGCTGCATAGCAGCCCGCCGTACATGGATTCGCCTAAATCTCGTTGTGCGAAGTCTGAGGCCCGCCAGACTACCTGTGCACTGGTGGTGACCAAGTCGCTCACACGCGCAACAGGCTTGCGGCAAGACTACCTCGACCGCCCAAGACTCGACTCGATTTGACCGCTGGCCTGCCGGGAACCCGAGCATGTAATCCCACGCCCCACTTCCCCTGGGCATGCGGCCTGTCGGCATGGAGCAAACGATGCCACGTGCGAGAAACGTCTCGGCTAGCGTTCCAGACGCGAGCGGCCCTTTCGAGCAACCCCAATGGTGATTTTTGACAAGCAGGCAAAAAAAAACACAACGCGCAACCGCGGGCGCCTGGCAAGGTGCCGGTCTGTGAAATGCACGGGAGTAGCTGAATGTAATACAGAGAGACACGATGTGCAAGGAGGGGGGCCCGTTCTATGAGAGGGCGCGTCCTCTTTCTTTTTACGGAGGCCAGGTCGCGCCCGTCGCCTGCGCGCTAGGTGGCTCAAGGGCCTTTTGTGAGCCTCAACGGCGGCACACAAGGGAGGTGGGACGGAGTCGAAGAAGGAAGAGAGGCTGACATGGGCATGACAACCACACGGTCAATCAGGGGCCTGCGGGAGCTGCGCGCGACGCTGCGCAGCGAGCATGCAAAATCTGCCGCGCTGCCCCCAGCGAAGCGTCATTCACCAAGAAGGAGCAGCGCTTGCCCGCGCGCTGGCAGCCGCTCCTTCATGCACGACCCAGCATTGGCACAACCTGGATTGGGGCGCAACGTGGGCAAGGCAACGTGCGCCGCAAGCGCGCGGGCACGCTTGGAGGGAGCTTCTTGGCGTGCCTCCTGACAGCCCTGGCAGCCCCACTGGCGAAACTGGCCAGACCACCTCGCGCGAGGTATCTCAGAGTCTAATTGCGAGAAGTGTTTCAATCGAACCTGGCCAGACCACATCACGCGTGGCGTCGCGTTGCGAAGATCGCAGGCGAAACAGGCTGGACCACTTCTCGCGCGAGGCATCTCGGAATCAAGAGTTGCGAGGATGTCTCCTACGAAGCTGGTTGGACCACCTCTCGCGCGGCATCTTCGAACCCAGAATTGCGAGAATGTCTCTGGCGAGAGCGAGCGAACCACACGAGCATGCCTGTCGGCTGCTCGGCCCTGTGGAGGGCATGGGTGTACAATTCGACTACCAGCCAGACAACTACCAGCCAGCCAGCCAACCAACAACAACTGCATATACAATGTCTCTGGCGACACGGGCCAAACCACCTCGCGGGCGGCAATTCGGAGGCCGAAGTTTCGAGGATGTCTCAGGCGAAGCTGGCCGAACCACTGAGATGAGGGCATCTCGATGCGTAGAGTTGCGAGAATGGCGCAGACGACACTAGCTGCGCGCGCTGCATGTCCGAGCCCAGGAGAAATGAGGACGTCTGAGGCGAAACTGGCTGGATCACCTTGTGCGCGGCATGTCGCAGACGAACCTGGCCGGACCACATCAGGTCAGGCCATATCGAAGCCCAGAAGTGGAGCCCAGAAATGCGAGGACGTCTCAGGCGACACTGGCCGCGCACGCTGCATCTCCGAGCCCAGACATGCGAGGGCGTCGCAAGCGAAACTGGCGCGATCATCTCTCGCGCAGCATGTGACGATGTCTCAGAAGGAACGTGCCAGACCGCCTCAGGTCAGTGCATCTTTGAGCCCAAAATTGCGAAGATGTCTCAGGCGAAACTGGCCGGAACATGTCACGCCGCATCTCTGAACCCAGGGTTGCGAAAATGTCTCTGGCGAAACTGGCAGGACCACCTCGCGCGCTGCATCTCCGAACCCAGATGTCTCTGGCGGAAGTGGCTGGACCACCTCGCGCACTGCATCTTCGAGCCCAGAGATGCGGGGGCGCCGGCATCTCCGAGCCCAGAATTGCGAGAATGTGTCAAGCCAAATTGGCCAGACCACCTCAGTTGAGGGCATCTCCGGACCTAGATTTGAGATTTGCGAGGACCTCTCCGGCAAAACTGGCTGGACCAGCTCCGAAGTTGGCGGATGTCTCTGAGCGCTGGCCCCTTGGCAAGAACTAACTTCTACCGCAACGGGACCCCAATGAGCATAGCTGTTAGCAGAATCGCGGTAAAGGCGGCGTGCGAACGGGAGCGGAAGGGGGATACGAGAGACGAGGAACGGAGAGGAGGGGACGGGGGAAAGAGAGGCGACATTTCCTGCTGGGCTTCCATGGTTGTGCCACGCCTTTGATGGTATATATGGTAATGACATGCGCACGCGCTGGCAAGGGACAGAAATCGCTGTTTGGGGAATCGCGGAGCCGAGCTCTGACGCGTGCGGCCCGCGGCGCAAACGGGAGGGGCGGTGTATGGCGCTGCGGCGGCGGAGGAGCGATCGGAAGAGCGATCGGAGGAGGAGGAGCAGGAGGGGGAGGAGGAGAACTTCTTGAGTGGCCCGGCCGCTCGACCTTCCTCCCCCCCTTCTCGATGGCCTCGGGATAGAGGATGGTTTGAAGGTTGCCTCCCTCCACCCTCCCACCCATCAGGAATGGGTAGGACCCCGCGTCGGGGCCCGGTGGCGGGCGCGTCGGCCGGGCGCGGCATTGGAGGATTCGGAGGCTGCGCTCAGCGGCTGCGGAGAGAGAGGCGGAGGAGTAAGCGGAGGGGAAGAATGAGAAGGAGGAGGAGGGGGAGGAGGAGGAGGAGGAGGAGGAGGTTGAGGAGGAGGAACAGCGATCTGAGGAGCAATCGGAGGAAGAGGAGGAAGTCTCCACCTCTAGAAGAGCATCGGACATTTTGTTATTAGCGGTACTTTAGGTTATGTAATTGATTTTGAAAGATACATAGGTTTTTTTTAAGGCTGCTAGTTTGTGGTACGGACATGCAATAACTTATGTGACATCAATAAAAGGGAGTTAGTTGATAATGGGTCTGGGTTGAAATCGTAAGTCAGATGGTTCATAGTACTTAAAGCTTGTAGGTGATTCAGGAGCCCTGGGTGTTTGAGGCCACCTAAATATGATAAACACATGAAGCATTAGAAGCTTGACATCCGAACTCAGTAATCACAACACTATGTAGTGGGATCCACACATAACAAATAATAACATTGTGAAAACTGGTCACCCGCGTCCGGCTTTCAACAATAAGCAAAAACGCATCGCTGCAAGAGGAGGCAACGGAGGAGAAGGAGGAGGGGGAGGAGGATGAGGAGGATGAGGAGGAGGAGGTCAAGGCTAAGCGTGCTGGAGGCGAGTCCGAACGGCGGCCCCTATGCAGGAGGCAGGAGGAGGAGGAGCGATCGGAAGGGAAGGAATAAGAGGACGAGGAGGGCAGCGGCGACGCCGACGTCGACGCTCCTGCCCCGCGGGCCCGCCCCGCGGCGGCAGGGTCAGCCCGTCCACCGCGAGGAGCCAGGGCGCACCTGCCACGGAGGCAGATGGGGCGATGAAGCGGGCGCCCGCCTCTCCTCCTCCTTTTCCTCCTGTTCCTCCTCCTCCTCCTCCTCCTCCTCCTCCTCCCAACTCCTCCGCGCTCCTCCTCTCCCTCCTCCTCCTCCTCCTCCTCCTCTTCTTGACCACCACCATCACCAGAACCATTACCATCCCCATTACCGTCACAATGACCATAACCATCACCATCACCATCACCAGCACAAGCATCCTCGTCCTCATCCCA